TTCTGATAAATGAAATCAAAGAACCAAATATATGGAGAGATATTTCATGTTCATGGATAGTAAGACAATATTATCAAGATGTCAGTTCTTTCCAATTTGTATAAATTTAATGCAACCCCAATCAAAATCCCAGCAAAATTTATTTTTGATATGGACAAACTGCTTCTTAAGTTTATTTGGAGAAGAAGAAGACCCAGAATAGCCAGCACAATGTTGAAGGAAAAGAAAGCTGGAGGACTATTGCTACCCAACTTTAAGACTTGCTATAAAGTTACACAAATCAGGATGCCTGGGTGGGTCAGTGATTGAGCATCTGCCTTTGGCTCAGGGTGTGATCCCGGAGTCCTGGGATGGAGTCCCACATCCGGCTTCCTGCATGGAGTCTGCTTCTCCCTCTGCCTATGTCTCTGCCCTTTTTCTGTGTCTCTCATGAATAAATAAAATCTTTAAAAAAAAAGTTACACAAATCAAGAGAATACTGTATTGGAGAAAGAACAGACAAATAGATCAATGAAATAGTCCAGAAGCAGACCATCATAAATATAGATCAACTAATCTTTGGCAAAGAACAAAGGCAGTGCAATGGAATAAAAATTGTCTTTTCAACAAATGGTGCTGGAACAACTGGACATTCACATATTAAAAAAAGAGAGAGTGAAAATCTGTACACAAACCTCATACCCTTCCCAGAATTTAGCTCAAAATGGATCACAGACCTAAGTGTAAAACACAAAGCTTTAAAAATCTAGGAGAATAATTGAAGAAAATGTAAATGACTTTTGATTTGGTGTTGACTTTTTATTTTTATTTTATTTAAAGATTATTTATTTATTTATTCATGAGAGACAGAGAGAGAGGCAGAGACACAGGCAGAGGGAGAAGCAGGCTCCATACGGGAGCGGGACGTGGGACTCGATCCAGGGTCTCCAGGATCACACCCCGGGTTGCAGGCGGCACCAAACCACTGTGCCACCGGGGCTGCCCTGGTGTTGACTTTTTAAATAACACCAAAGATATGATTTATGAAAGAATTGATAAGCTAAAAAAAAAAGAATTGATAAGCTGAACTTCATTAAAACTTAAAACCTGTGCTCTGGGCAGCCCTGGTGGCTCAGCGGTTTAGTGCCGCCTTCGGTCCAGGGTGTGATCCTGGAGACCCAGGATTGAGTCCCATGTTGGGCTCCCTGTATGGAGTCTGCTTCTCCCTCTGCCTCTCTGTCTCTCATGAATAAATAAAGTCTTAAAAAAAAAAAAACCCAAAAACCTGTGCTCTGCAGAAGACAGTGTAATGAAAATAAAAAGACAAAAATGTTTCAAGAAGCAAGATGGTTAAAGCAGCTTCATTCTTTTTTTTTTTTTTTTTTTTTTTTTTAAGGCATAGAGAGAAGCAGTCTCCATGCAGGGAGCCCGATGTGGGACTTGATTCAGGGTCTCCAGGATCACGCCCTGTGCTGAAGGCAGGCACTTAACCACTGAGTCACCCAGGTGTCTCCAGCAACTTCATTCATAATTGCCAAACTTGGAAACAACCAAGATATCTTTCAGTAAGTGAAAGGATGAATTAATTGTAGTACATCTAGACAATGGAATGTAATTCAATATTATAAAGAAATGAACTACTGAGCCATGAAAAGACATAAAGGAATCTTAAATGCATATTACTAAGTGAAAAAGGCAGTCTAAAAAGGCTACATACTTTATGATTCCAACTATATGACATTCTAGAAAAGGCAAAACTATGAAGACAATAATAAGATCAGTGATTGCCAGAGGTTGGATGGGGAGAGGGATGAATAGGTGGAGCACAAAGGAGTTGTAGGGCAGTCAAAGTGTCTAAGGGAGTCTGGGTGGCTCAGTCAGTTAAGCTGCTTAGGTTATGATCTCAGGGTCCTGGGGTTGAACACTCAGCAGGGAGTCTGTTTGTCTCTCTTCCTCTCCCTCTGTCCCTCCCCCCACTCATAGTTTGTCTCTCAAATAAATAGATAAAATCTTTAAAAAAAGAAAGCACTCTGTATAATACTGTAATGATGGATACGTGTCATCATAAATTTTTCCAGACCATAGAGTATACAGCTCTGATTGAACCTGATTGGACTCTGTGTGATCATGATGTGTAAATATAGTATGATGTAAAAATATATGTGAAACAGATGTATTATTCTTGTGGGTTGATAATGGGGAAGACCACATATGTTGGAGCAGGGAGTATATGGGAAATCTCTGTAGCTTCCTCTTAATTTTGCTGTGGATCCAAAACTGCACTAAAAAATAAAGTCTAAAAGTAACAACAATATCTCCCTTAAGAGATTGTTTTGAAGATCAATGAATTAATAAGTGAAATGCAATTAGAATAATGCTTGGCAGGTTTTGCTTTGTCACGACCCGGAGTGGGGTGCTACTGACATCTAGTTAAGCACGACTGGTAGAAGTCGGTCATGCTGCTAAACATCCTCTCACAACAAATAGTTATTTGGTCCAAAATGCAAATAGTGTTGAGGCTTAGATAATCTCCTCTAATGCTTTTGAGGCACCTTGATGTGGATGATCTAACCCAGGGAATGAATGTAGCTGAGGAAGAGAGGACTTAGAGCTGTAGCTTGCCAACATCCTGAAGATTCTTAAGGAAGGTATAATGACTGAGGAATGGCCAAGGAGGTGTAAAAGTTCCAGGAGAATATGATAGTACAGAAGACAGAATGGTGTTTCTAGAAGGTAGGAGAAAAGTGAGCAGTAATAATGATAACACTCAGGTTATCAGAATATTTTCCAAAGATTATGCTGTAATTCATTTACTGTGCTCAATAACTCTGTTAAGTAGGTATTATTCCCAAATGATACATGGTGACACTCAGGCATGGATCTAGTGTCAAATGCTGCTGAAAAGTTTAAGATTTGACAGGTAGGGATGCCTGGGTGGCTCAGCGGTGAGCATCTGCTTTTGGCCCAGGGTGTGATCCTGGAGCCCTGGGATCAGGTCCTGCGTTGGGCTCCCTGCGGGGAGTCTGCTTCTCCCTCTGCCTGTGTCTCTGCCTCTCTCTCTGTGTCTCTCCTGAATAAATAAATAAGATCCTTAAAAAAGAAAAAAAAAAGATTTGACAAGTAAAGTAGAAGCCGTCACGCATTGTGTCAAAAGAGGTTTCAGAGAGATGGAATGTGGGTATAGATATCTGATTAATGTAATTTGAGATATCAGATGATGAGCAAATGGAGACAGAAAATATAATCCTTCTGCTTTTTCTTTCTAGAAGAGAAATAGCAAAAGGACAACATTCGTCTAGGAAGGCTTGTTTTCTTTCCTTTTTTTTTTTAAGTGAAAGTTGTATCAGCAGTTTGTTTTGTTTTGCAGATGAATATAGTTGAATACAGATCAAGTGACTGACCACTTGGGACGGTGACTAGATAACTGCTGAAGCAAAGTGCTTGGAATAAAGATGTTATCTAGTGGGTTGGCCTTAGAGGGCATCATTGGTAATTCATTCTTGTAACAGGAGGGAAGGCTACATATTAAATTGGGTTAGTTGATTGGTGCTGATCAAGTGAGGCAATTTTATTCTTTTTCTTCAATGAAGTTAATAAAAATGGACAATATCAGCTATGAATGAAGTAGGGAGGAGTATTGGTTTGAGCACAGAGAAAATAGTTTGAAATTATTAGGTGAGAAAAATAAATAGGGACTAAGGTACTACCTCACATTTCTGGTTATAAGTTTAGAGTGGTGAGAAAGTTATTACAGGGAAGAAGGGAGAGTAAAGAAGTGGTAGAGCTGGAGATGGAGCATAAGTTCATGTTTATGTTGGCATGAGCTTTTTGGAGCTGATTTTTGCCAAGGAGAGGGCAAATGTTCTCCAGCTTGCAAGGTATCGTGGAGAATGTCTGTGTTTCATCCTCAAGTCGAGTGACACATAAGATGTAGGAAAATGTCCAATTCCAGGGAGGGCTGGGAAAGCAATCTTCAGAGGAAAACCATGTTCTAGTTAAAGCACAAAGGTGAAGATGTTTGGAGAAAAAATTAAAGATAAGGGATTTTGCTGATGACAGTGAGTTTCCAAGCACTCAATAGAAGGCTTTGGAGCAACTGAGAAAGGGGTGAGGAATTGGTCAGACTCAGGAATTTACAGAGCTATATGGGGATTAGAGTCTGGGTGATTAGAATTTGGATGATAACTAAGGTAAATAGGGATTAGTCTTGATGGTATTTTATTTTTTTGGATAGTTTAAAAATTTATAAGGCATAATTTACAAACAGTAACACTGGCCCTTTTAGTGCACAGTTAACCAAGTTTTGACAAATGCATATAATTGTGTAGCCACCATCTCATCCCAGATATAGTTTCATCATTCCAAAAATCCCTGTATCCCTGTGTAGTCAACCGCTCCTCCCATCTCTCATGCCCCACTCCCAGCTCCTGGCGACCACTGATCTGTGTTCTGTAGTGCATTCCTTTTTATTGCTGAGCATATTCTATAATATGAATGTACCACTGTTTACCTGCTTGGATTTTTTTCCAGTTTTTGTTGATTACAAATAAAGCCCCTGTAAACATTTGCATATACACAAGTATTCATTTCACTTGGATAATTAAGTCAGCATATGTTTAGGGTTGTGAGAAACTACTGAAGTGTTTTTCAGAGACTTAATTTTTTTTTTTTTTACACTCGTTGAAGAGTGCCTGCCCATATCTCAGGAGAGATACTGAGCAGAACTGGGTAGTTCGTCAGATGATGTATGGCTCACAAATCTTAAAAATATTTGCAATCTGGCCCTTTACAGAAAATATTTGTTGACCATTGTTATAGAGTATGGTCCATAGGAATTAAGAATTTCATAAGCAATTTCATGGATCCTTCTCTGAGATGAATAATCAGCAGCACAATTACTGTATACAATGGGATAATCTTTTTTAAAAAATATTTATTCATGAGAAACACAGGGAGAGAGGCAGAGGGAGAAGCAGGCTCCACGCAGGGAGCCCTCTGTGGGATCGGATCCCACAGGATCATGCCCTGTGTCAAAGGCAGACGCTCAACCCCTGAGCTACCCAGGAGTCCCTAGAATAGAATAGTCTTATCAGTAAATATACTAAAAACCTTGCTGTTGAACCGGGCGGAAATAAATGTTTATACGTGTTTCAATTACTGGGAAATATCTTTTTTATTCAGTGCGATGCATAGAATCTGCAAGTCCTCAATTTTTCCATAGTCACTGAAAATTGAGCTGGATATTTAAAAAGAATATGGATATTCCCCAAATCATTGTATTTTCACACCCGCTGCAAACATACAATTTTTCTTCCAAGTGCAATTCAACAGTCTAACTGAGGAGATAATTGAACAGCTAATTGAGGACGACGGGCAACCGCATTTCACAAGAGCCTGAGGCAGGCCTTGGCTCGGCGGCCCGCGTACGGCGGTGCTCCAGCGCCCGCCCGGTAGCCTGCCGTTGGCGCCAACAGTGCGCAGGCGCCTTGGCCCCGGCGCCGGCCTTTGCGGAGGGGCGGGGCCTGCAGTCGGCGTCTCCTCCTGGAACTGCGGCTGGCGGCAGCGCCATTTTGAACGTGCAGCTCCCGCAGCCGCCGGCGCGATCGTAAGGGCGGCCGCTGGGCGAACCAGCCGTAGTCTCGGACTTCGTCCGTCCGTGGCTCGTCTGTGGGTATATACAGAGACGCGGCTGTAGCTCTAGAGTTGTGTCTGCTACCCGAGGTGAACCCCCAAGATGATGTTAAGAGGAAACCTGAAGCAAGTGCGCATTGAGAAAAACCCGGCCCGCCTCCGAGCTCTGGAGTCCGCGGCGGGCGAGAGCGAGCCGGCGGCCGCCATGGCGCTGGCGCTGGCGGGGGAGCCGGCGCCGCCCGCCCCTGGGCCCCCGGAGGACCACCCTGACGAGGAGATGGGGTTCACCATCGACATCAAGAGCTTCCTCAAGCCGGGCGAAAAGACGTACACGCAGCGCTGCCGCCTGTTCGTGGGGAACCTGCCCACAGACATCACGGAGGAGGATTTCAAGAGGCTGTTCGAGCGCTACGGCGAGCCCAGCGAGGTTTTCATTAACCGGGACCGCGGCTTCGGCTTCATCCGCCTGGTGAGCGTGGGGCCTGGCCGCGGGCGCGGGCCCCCAGGGGAGGGGAGGGCGGTGCGCGCAGGGGGCGTCGCGGGCGAGGGGAGGGACCCCAGGGGCCCGGGGGCGGGGAGGCCGTGCGCGGTGGGGGCGCCGGAGGCGAGGGGAGGGACCGTAAGGGCGCAGGGGAGGCCGTGCGCCGACCGAGTTCCGCGGGCTGCCGTCTTGCCGTTTTCGGCCGCCTCGGAGCAGTCCTTGGTCACGGCTGCGGCCTGGGCTGGGGCACCGCGGCGCCTCCCGCCCTCTCCTTTCCGCCGCTCTGGCCGTCTTCCCCCCAGAGCGGCGTGTAGCCTGGTGCTTGCGGTGAGCGGACTCAGTTTCCCGCCGCTCCGCGCGCCTGGCCTCGCTCGCACGGCGCTGGGGGTTCTAGTCGTCTGCCTCTGACGGGTCACGGGTGGGGCTGCAGCGTTCTGCGGGGAGACTGCTTCCAGGCAGAATTGTGTTGTAAAGGAAATGAATTCGATCGGAATTTGGAACGGAAACTTCGGGTTTACCGGAAGTTTCATTGGGCATGGAGGACCAACCAGCGGACTCGCTTCTTAAAAATTTTCCAAATCATCTTGGTTTCAACCAGACTTGCATGCGTTTGACCATAAACCGTGTTTACCGCCTCAGCGCAGCCTAGTTCTTAAACTGCAGTATTGGAACGGTATGGAATTCTTAGGTATCTAACGTTCCGGTTATTTCCACATTTGGAGGGGGGAATGAATGCTGTACTATTTTATATTTTACGTGGACATTTTACTTTTTTTTTAGTCTGTCTTAAAATTTTGTTTTCCAATAACATGGAAAGATTGTGCCCCTCTTAAATTAAAAAAAAAATTGAAACAGTGAGGGTTTACTCTTAAAGGATACAGCATACCCTTTATTCCGTTTTCTTATGTGCTTTGTGGGGAATTCCATCAGTGTCAGTGTCCGTTACATACAGCTTTATCGTAATTCGTTATTTAAATGCTGTATTTTTTTTTCCAACAGAATATTTTTACACAAGTGCTTTTGTGTGTGTGTGTTGCCTTTCTATTTCTAATTTGGCCCTCAAGTTTTTTTTAATATTTTTTTCTTTTTTTATTTATTTATGATAGTCACAGAGAGAGAGAGAGAGAGAGAGAGAGAGAGAGAGAGAGGCAGAGACACAGGCAGAGGGAGAAGCAGGCTCCATGCACCGGGAGCCCGACGTGGGATTCGATCCCGGGTCTCCAGGATCGCGCCCTGGGCCAAAGGCAGGCGCCAGACCGCTGCGCCACCCAGGGATCCCCTGGCCCTCAAGTTTTATGTGCATAGTAGCATTTGTGGAAGCTTTCTTACAGGAGTTTAGCATTCGTGCATTCGTGTTTTTTTTTTTTTTTTTGAGGTTAGCATTCGTAATTGGGTTCTCTTTATGAATGACTGGGGCAAAATTTTAATATGTAGACAGAATTGATTGTAATTTTTTTTTTAAAGATTTATTTATTTATTTATGATAGACATAGAGATAGAGAGGCAGAGACACAGGAGAAGGGAGAAGCAGGCTCCATGCCGGGAGCCCGACGTGGGACTCGATCCCGGGTCTCCAGGATCACGCCCTGGGCCAAAGGCAGGCGCTAAACCGCTGAGCCACCCAGGGATCCCGAATTGATTGTAATTTAATGACATTGTATTTTTTAGGGAGAACATTTGAACATTTAAAATCTAAATGGCTTCAAGAGAGAAGAGTAAATCTTGGTAGAGTATTAATAAGACCTAGACATTTCCTTAAAATTGAAGTTAAGTAATCAGTGTGTTTTGAACATAAAATTATAAATATCTTTTGGACATTATAGAAACCATTTGTCATTTGGTAAAATTATTTTTAATATAATTCCAGCGCTATCTTAAAGGAAGTTAGGTTTCTACAATGAAGTATTTCAGAGAACTTTTAGTAAATTTTTCCAAAAAGATGTTCTCTAACATTTTCATAGTCTTTAGCCTCTGTCACCATGTTGGTCTGTTCTAAGGTTGACATTCTGGAGGAAGAATGGTTTTCCGCAGGGCTGGAAATGCTATGCATATGTTCTGTCCAATGTAGTAGCTACTAGCCCAGCCCTTATATGACTAATGAGCACTTGAAATGTAGCAATTGTGCCTGAGGATTTAACCTTTAAGTTTTATTTATTTTTAAATTTAAATAGTCACATGTGGCTACTGGCTACTATGTTTAACAGTGCAGCTCATTGTTTTTAGTTTTTTTATTTAAAGTCTATGGGATTATGAAACAGGGAGGTGAGAAGGACTGGACTACTCTTGTCTGTTGCTTTGGGATATGCTCCTCCAAGCCTATCATGCTATATTTTTTGTGTAGTAATGTTAAAAATATGTCAATGGGAAATTCGAATTAGCTTACAGGATTTGACCTTATAGATAACTTTCCTGTTTAAGCTGAGCTCTATGATTAACAGGTACATACCCAAGCTTTAAATATTTCTTTTTTTTTTTTAATTTTTATTTATTTATGATAGTCACAGAGAGAGAGAGAGAGAGAGAGAGAGAGAGAGAGAGAGACAGAGACACAGGCAGAGGGAGAAGCAGGCTCCATGCACGGGGAGCCCGATGTGGGATTCGATCCCGGGTCTCCAGGATTGCGCCCTGGGCCAAAGGCAGGTGCCAAACCACTGCGCCACCCAGGGATCCCAATATTTCTGAACTAATACATATCTTTTTCTACTTAGGAAAATCATATAGTGTATACTTGATATGAATGTAAGTAATGGTGAAGTGGCCCTCAAATAATGGTGTAATTTTGTTTGATTTATATTTTTAGAAGTACTTTTTGCCTTTTCAGGAATTAATCTTTACAATTAAATTTTATTACACTGGTGGTTGTAGTTTTCCAGTTAATTGATGAAGTGAGACAACATTTTGGGGATGGTATAGGGTCGTCATCGCTGTATGTAATGGTGAGGAAAAAGAATTTAAGTGGCATTTCCTCATAAGGTCCTAATCTGTATTGTGAACCCACAGTACATTATTTTGGATACATTTTGTGGAATCTTAGACCCAAAAGCTTCTTTTTAGGTTTTGTCTGGTTACTGTCATTAAATTGATTAAATTAACTGAGAAGTTGTAGTGTATTTTTTTTTTTTTTTAATTACTTAAGTAACCTCTACACCCACTAATGGCCCTGAACTGACTACCCTGAGATCAAGAGTGGAAGGCTTCTCAGACTGAGCCAGCCTGGAGTCCTAGTGGTGCGTTTTAAATTTTTTTTTTTAATTTTTATTTATTTATGATAGTCACACACAGAGAGAGAGGCAGAGACACAGGCAGAGAGAGAAGCAGGCTCCATGCACCGGGAACCTGATGTGGGATTCGATCCCGGGTCTCCAGGATAGCGCCCTGGGCCAAAGGCAGGCGCCAGACCGCTGCGCCACCCAGGGATCCCCTAGTGGTGCGTTTTAAAGCTAGCTTAATATAGTTAAAACTGATAATAGTTTGACCTGAACTCTGTTTCTCCTTTTTTCTTTTCCTCTTTTAGCTTTAGTAAACCAGACTTCTGGAGTGATATTCACAAAAGTGTGGTTCTTTTCCATCAGATTCAGATCTCTCCTTAGTGTAAGCAGGCCACTTATATTATTTTTCCTACCATTCATGCTAGCAATGCTGACCCAATACTATCTCAAAAATTGCTGAGAATTTGTTAGAAATGCAAATTCTAAGACCCTACTCTAGATTAAATCTGTTGAATCAGAAATTGTAGGGTTGGGACCCAACGGTCTTGGGTTTTAATTAGCCCTCCATGTTATTCTTATGCTTGCTAAGGTTTGAGAACCACTGTTATAATTAAAGAGTTAAAAATCAACCTAATTTACATTAATTTAGTCATTGGGGACTAAACCCTCTTCCCTTATGTTTTTGGTTTTAATTATGAAGTGCTGTGTGCTTCTTACAGAGTGTCAAATATTAGAGATGGTGTTGTAGAATATTATTAGTGGGCCTGTCCAGCATGTAATTTCAAGTACTCTTTAAGTTCAGGGAAGTTCTCTTACTACAATTTTAATTCTAGTGAAAGGTTGTCCCATAACACATTAAATGTAATCAGATTAGTGTTAAACTTTATCTGATTTTTTCCATATCAAATTGTATTATACACATTCTATTGTGATTTGAGGTTTTTATTTACTATCTCTTTGACCTCTTCTCATATCATTAGATTGAGTTTTAATGACCATATTGTATTTCACAGTATGAATGGACTGCTAGTTACCCAGTCAACTTCTGTTGATTGACCTGAAGGCTATTTCCATTTTACATCAGTGATTTTCCTTTTACTAATTAGTTTAGCACTCTTGCAGGGGTGAATTTTAACCACTAGGGAACAATGAGAAAAGATCAGGTGCTTTGGAAAGAGCCCTTGGAGATCCTAATTCAAGTGGTCTCTCTTTTGGGGTAGTCCCTTAGTTTCTTTCTTTTAAGTAAAAGCCTATGGTTTTACATTTTGTGTAGAGTGATACAGGAACACTACCTGGGAGGAGGGATTTATGGAGTATTGGTAGAGATTATAAATTCAGTATAGATCTGAGGCAGGTTACTTCAACCTATTAGGCCTATTTCCCCAGATGTGGAGTGAGAATAATAACTCTTTATAAGAGTTATTATTTTTATATAAGAGTTCTTATTTATAATTATTATTTATAATAGTTTATAATCTCATTTTATAAGATTGTTGATGAGGATAATGGAAGCTAATGCCTGTGTATGTATATATATACATATACATTTATTTTTTATTTTTAAGTAATCTCTCCTCCCAGTGTGGGGCTCAAATTCACAACCCCAAGATCAAGAGTCACATGCTCTACCAACTGAACCAGCCAGGCACCCCACTACTCTGCAGTTTTATTTTTTTTTTTTTTATTTTTTTTTTTTTTAAGATTTTTTTTAAAGGTTTTTATTTATTTATTTATTAATTTTATGATAGTCACAGAAAGAGAGAGAGGCAGAGACATAGGCAGAGGGAGAGGCAGGCTCCGTGCACCGGGAGCCGGACGTGGGATTCGATTCTGAGTCTCCAGGATCGCGCCCTGGGCCAAAGGCAGGCGCCAAACCGCTGCGCCACCCAGGGATCCCTACTCTGCAGTTTTAGAAAGTCCTCACTGGGTTCTCTTTATCTTTCTACTCCTAAACATTTTATTATGAAAAATTTCAGATATATAGTAATGAACATCCATAGATCCACCATCTAGATTCTATAATTAAGTTTTGTTATATGTGTTTTTTTCACTTATTTATTCATCTCTCTCTGCCATCAGTTCTGGACTTTTTAAACACTCTAGCATGCTTATCATTAACTAGAGTCCAGTATTAATTTTTGAGGTATTTGAAATCTACATACAGTGAAATGTGCAGATTTTAAGTGTTGGTGATTTTAGATAAATGACATTTAATTCAAACTCCTATCAAGATATAGAATATTATCATCAAAAAAAAGAATATTATCATCACCGTGTGAAATTTCCTCATGCCCCTTCCCATTCTCAGTTATACCCAACAGCATTTTATTTTATTTTATTTTATTTTATTTTATTTTATTTTATTTTATTTTATTTTATTTTATTTTGTTTTTTAAATATTTATTTATTTATTCATGAGAAACACAGGGAGAGGGAGAGAGAGAGAGGCAGAGACACAGGCAGAGGGAGAAGCAGGCTCCATGCAAGGAGCCTGATGTAGGACTCGATCCCGGGTCTCCAGGATCACACCCTGGGCTGCAGGCGGCGCTAAACACCTGTGCCACCGGGGCTGCCCCCCCCCCAACAGCATTTTAATTCAAGACTCTATTCCTAAAATCTGCCTCTTAGAGTTGTTGGATTATGTGACTTCTTAGATACAAAGTACCTATCCCTTGTTAGATATTTATTAAATGTTTTCTGGTATTATTTAAATAAGAGTAATTAAAATTTTTAAAGTACTTTATTTTTGAGATTTTATTTTTTTTTAAGGATTTTATTTATTTGAGAGTGAGACAGAGAGCATGAGTGGGGAGGGTCAGAGGGAGAAGCAGACTCCCTGCTGAGCAGGGAGCCCAATGTGGGGTTTGATCCAGGGACTTCCAAGATCATGACCAGATGCCTAACCAACTGAGCCACCCAGGCACCTGAAGATTTTATTTTGTTTTGTTATTTATTTATTTTATTTTATTTTATTTTATTTATTTTATTTATTTTATTTATTTTATTTTATTTGATTTGATTTTTAAGATTTTATTTTTAAGTAAGCTCTACGCCCAAGATGGGGCTTGAACATTATAACCCTGAGATCAGTAGCCACATGCTCTACTGACAGCCAGTCAGGCGCCCCAAGAGTAATTTTTAAAGGTAGCCATTTTGAAAATCTGTAAAAACATTCATTTATCTTTGTAAAAGTTCTGTAGAAAGATTCTTGCATACATACAATAATTTAAAGCTGTCATGAATATTTTAGGGATTGAATAAGGATCTATTGTGAGGTCAAGACTTTTTTCATAAGATAGTATATTCTCTTACAAACATAAAATCTCTTTCAGTTCTCTCTGAGGAGTTCTTAGAACACAAAGAAAAAGAACATACTTATATTAAACTTAACAGTTTGTTGATTATGCTTAGATGTCCATATTCTATATGAACTTTGAATTCTTCAAGAAGGAAGTTCCCTTGAGGTTTCAGCAGTGAATGCATTTTCGAGTTTACAAATGCATGTGCAGTTGATTCTGACTATAATGGAGAGAACTTTTATAGCCCATGAATGTACGTGTTTGCTTCTCTAAATATAATGGAGAAATGTGTAGCCCTTGAAAGTATCTCAGGAGAAGTGGTTAACATTTGATGATTTTCATAGATAATATAAAAAAGAAATAAAAAGGAAAGGGGATTTTTCTGGCATTGGAGAGGTGGGATGTTTTATTAAAATATAAATATCAAAAACATGGAGTGTATGGGAAATTCTGTTTTCAATAATAGCTTCCAGTAACTGGTGCTTGGTCTCAAAAAGTAATTATGATTTTCTTTTAATATGTGTAGGAGATTTAAAAAAAATACTTCAAATATTTAACAACTGGCAATTTAGGAATACATAATCTTTTAGTAATGACTTAGGACACTGGGTTTGGGACTTCTTACAATATTTAAACATACTTATTTTTGAATGATTAATGCAATGCATGTGTTACCAAAATTGAATGACACAAAGACAAAGTGACCCTGTGACCCTATCAGCCAATTCCAAAAGCTACCCAGCTCTTCTCACTAGAAACCACTTTTAAAAATTATTTGTGTTACTATTGTCTTTAAAAAGTGATTTTTCCTCCTAAAAAGGAATCCAGGACACTGGCTGAAATTGCAAAAGCAGAACTGGATGGCACCATTTTGAAGAGCAGACCTCTCCGAATTCGTTTTGCTACACATGGAGCAGCACTAACTGTCAAGAACCTTTCGCCGGTTGTTTCCAATGAGCTTCTGGAGCAAGCATTTTCCCAGTTTGGCCCTGTAGAGAAAGCCGTTGTGGTTGTGGATGACCGTGGTAGAGCTACAGGAAAAGGTTTTGTAGAATTTGCAGCGAAACCTCCTGCACGAAAGGCTCTGGAAAGATGTGGTGATGGGGCGTTCTTGCTAACAACGTAAGTTTTAAACATCTCATCATCCTTCTGTGCAGTTACAAATGGCCTTCTCTCTGTTCTGAATTTCTTTCTTGTACAGATCATACTGTCTTGGCATATATGGTAAGTAGGTGTTAAATAAATATTCACTGGATATAAATAAGGAATTTTTGTGTATCTCCAGAAGTTGGGAGTCCTACTTCTGACTTAATGTATTGATTCATATTTGGATCTTAAATGTTTTGTATTAAGATTTTCATTCAGCAGATTGAATGTCTATTATATGCAAAGAAAAATTTTATATTTAAATAATGGATGGGGGATCCCTGGGTGGCGCAGCGGTTTGGCGCCTGCCTTTGGCCCAGGGCGCGATCCTGGAGACCCGGGATCGAATCCCACATCGGGCTCCCCGTGCATGGAGCCTGCTTCTCCCTCTGCCTGTGTCTCTGCCTCTCTCTCTCTCTCTCTCTCTCTCTCTGTGACTATCATAAATAAATAAAAAATTTAAAAAAATTTAAATAATGGATGAATGACATTTTAATCAACTTTTTAAATGCATAATTTTCATAAATTAAAATGCACCCAATTTTAAATGTAAAATTCAGTGAATGTACTTATGTAACCTATAATCACAATCAAATAGATAACATTTTCATCATCCAGACAAGTTCTTTTATGCTCTTTTGCAGTTCTACTCCATCCCTTAACATTTTACAGCTTTATTTATACTGTGATCCATTTTGAGTATGATGTGAGGTAACAGTTCATTTTTTTCCATACAGCTATTTGTTTCAGCCCCAGTAATTGAAAAGATTATTATTTCTCCTCTTTTACCTTTATCAAAAACCTGAGGGGAAAATCTGCATTCTTTTGTTTCATTTATCAGTGTGTCTATTACACCAATACTTTTAAAAAATATTTTATTTTATTTTTTTTAGATTTTATTTATTAGAGAGTACAAGAGCACTTGTGCAAGCATGAGCCAGGGGGAGGGGTGGAGGAGAAAGGGTGAAGCAGGGAGACTGATGTGGGCTCTGGTCTCCATCCCAGGGGCAGATCATGACCTGAGCTGAAGGCAGACACTTAACTGACTGAGCTCACCCCGGCTCCCCTTAAAGATTTTATTTTATTTTATTTTATTTTATTTTATTTTATTTTATTTTATTTTATTTATTTATTTATTTATTTATTTATTTATTTATTTATTTATTTATTTATTTATTTATTTATTTATTTTTAAAGATTTTATTTATTCATTCTTGAGAGACACAGAGATAGAGAGGCAAAGACACAGGCAGAGGGAGAAGCACGCATCACACAGAGAGCCTGACGTGGGACTCGATCCAGGGTCTCCAGGATCATGCCCTGGGCTGCAGGTGGCGCCAAACCGCTGCGCCACCGGGGCTGCCCAAAGATTTTATTTTTAAGTAAACTCTGCACCCCAATGTTGGGCTTAAATTACAACCCTGAGATCAAGATTGCATGCTCTACTGACTGAGTTAGTAGGTGGTGCCAGCCACACCAATACTGTACTTTTTAAATTATTTCATGCTAAAGTTTGTAATTAAGTAGTGTCACCTAACTTTTCTTTTTTCAAAATTGTTCTAGGTACTGTTTTGTATATCCTTCCTTACTTTATTCCCCAATTTGAGTATAGTTAATGTACAATGTTACATTAGTTTCAGATTATCTTTACTGATTTTGAAATCAACTTGTCAATTTAAAAAAAATTCTGGGCTTTTGATTGAAATTGCATTGAGTATACAGGTCATTCTGGGAAATATTGACATCCTCATAATTTCTTCCAGTCCATGAATGTGGTGTGTCCATTTACTTAAAAATATTTATAAGTAATTATAAATAAGTAATTATAAAAAATATTTATAAGTAATTATAATAATTATAGATTTGTCATATTAACATGCCTTTCATTTTGCCCATGACAAAGTTTTTTTTTTTTTTTTAAGATGTTATTTATTCATGAGAGGCACAGAAAGAGAGGCAGGCAAAGACAGAGGCAGAAGGAGAAGCAGGCTTCATGTAGAGTTCAGTGTGGGACTCCATCCCAGGGACTGCGGGATCACACCCTGAGCTGAAGGCAGATGCTCAACCGCTGAGCCACTCAGGCGTCCCGAAGTTCTTGATGTTCGTATCTTAGTCTTTCTGCTGGATTTGTGTGAAGATTCCTTAGTTCATTATTGTATTGATTCCTTTTATCTCTGTTAGTGATAAAGTGTTCCCACTTACTGTTTTATTGGTTGGGATCATTTTAAATATTTAAGTATTTTATTTTATTTTATTTTTTATATTTTTTTTAAAGATTTCATTTATTTATTCATGAGAGACAGAGACACAGGCAGAGGGAGAAGCAGGCTCCATATAGGAGCCTGATGTGGGACTCGATCCTGGGACTCCAGGATCACGCCCTGGGCTGAAGGCAGGTGCCAAACCCCTGAGCCACCCAGGGATCCCCTATTTAAGTATTTTAGAGTTTGGGGAACTGGATACAAAGACAATATAGAACACCTATTGACCCCACAGCTTAGTTTAGTGATTATAAAGCATTTTTCAGTTTTGCTTTGGACTGTTAAGCTAAAGCTGTAATTCATGTTACATCTGTTTTACGGCACTGCCAATTTGTTCCCTCAGATTTCTTGGTTTTGTTCTCTATGCTAAGAGAATGCTTGCAGTCCACATCACAGGCCTTGTTATATTTTATTCACCTTTTGCTAAGATGTTAACTTCTTAGAGAAGTAGTTTTATCTTCATATAATCATTGCCTCTGCAGCATCACTGATACTCTACTCTCCCAGTTTATTTTTTGTCATAGCATTTACTGTTTTAATTTGTATGTCTTTCTCTGCAGTAGGATGTAAGTTCCTCTAGGGTAGGGACTTTGTCTTGTTCAGCACTATAATCCCTAGCACCTGTATTCTTTTTTTTTTTTTTAATTTTTATTTATTTATGATAGTCACAGAGAGAGAGAGAGAGAGAGAGAGGCAGAGACAGGCAGAGGGAGAAGCAGGCTCCATGCACCGGGAGCCCGACGTGGGATTCGATCCCAGGTCTCCAGGATCGCGCCCTGGGCCAAAGGCAGGCGCCAAACCACTGGCCACCCAGGGATCCCCTATTCTTTTTTTTTTAATTAAATTAAATTTTAATTTCAGTATAGTTAACATGCAGTGTTATATAAGTTTCATGTGTGCAGTATAGTCATTCAACAATTTTGTATATTAGTATTCATTAAGATAAGTGTACTTTTAATCCCCTTCACCTATTTCACCCATTTCTGCTCCCCATCTCCACCTCTCCTTTGGTAACCATCTGTTTTGTTCTCTGTAGTTAGAGTCTGTTTTTTGGTTTCTTTTTTTCCTTTGTTTTGTTTCTTAAATTCCACATATGAGTGAAAGCATATCGTATTTGTCTTTCTCTGACTTATTTTGCTTAGCATTATACTCTCCTAGCACTTACATTCTGGTAATTCCTGACCACAAAGTAAGCTAATAATTATTTAGTGAAGGAAGGAGGGAACTAAAGCAGTAGGCAAGGCATGTGAGTAGTATTTTTTCCACTGCAGGCTTTGATTACTTGGTAAATTTTTAAAGTTACAGCTAGGCTCTGGGAAATATTTAACCCTTTCTTACTGGTAGCTTTTGGAATAACTTAAAAACAGTTTTGAGGGAATGGGCAAGGTGTTGAACATTGTATTATCTGTCATTTCATTATCATGACCATAATCATAAGCATGTTGGATTTTTACAACAATACTGGCTACTACTACATTTTTCAGATGAGAAAACTGGCCTAGAGATGTTAAGTAATTTGTGTAAGATTGCACAAATAATAAGTGGTGGATTTTAGTCTGGTGCTGCATCTCTTGCTTTTTATATTGTGCTACAGGTGGAGTTTTTTGTAGACTTATCTTTGCTTAGGAATTTGTTATTATTTAAACCTCCTAATGAAACTCAGGATGCTCTTTTCCCTGTTTGTTTGAATAATTAGTATTAGGTGAAATGTAACTTCCTGGAAAGGAATTTCCTCAATGCCTTTTCGAAAGTGGGCTCCTTCTGTTAATTCTTTCTGACAGTACTGCGTTTTTCCTTTTTAGCTCTTAAAATGATTATTTGTTTACTCCTTTTTTGTTTATTTTGGTCTTTTAGAACACTTCAGAATTGTTTTGTTTACCCTGATCCTCTAGCCCCAAGTATGGTCTTCTTGGTACATATTGGGTAGTCAAATATTTATTGACAGACTGACTGAATTTCAGTTATTGAGGATAATACAAGTAACTTATAGGAGTGGTATCATCGAGATTTAGTTTTTAAGTGTAGACTTCTTTTGTAATCAAAATCTCTTCTATCTCTTTCCTTTTTAAAAGATTTATTTGAGAGACAGGGGAGGGGGAGGTTGAAAGGGACAAGCAGACTCCCCACTGAGTGCAAGTCTGATGTAGACCCCAATCCCAGGACCCTGAGATCCTGACCCTAGCTGAAGTTAGACACTCAACCAGCTGAGCCACCAGGTAGGTGTCCTGTATGTTTCAATTCTTTTTAGGAAAAAGAAATTTTCCCCATCAAGCAATCCTTTTTTTTTAAATTTAATTTAATTTAATTTTTTATTTTATTTTATGATAGTCACACAGAGAGAGAGAAAGAGAGAGAGAGAGGCAGAGACATAGGGAGAGGGAGAAGCAGGCTCCCATGCACCGGGAGCCCGACGTGGGATTCGATCCCGGGTCTCCAGGATTGTGCCCTGGGCCAAAGGCAGGCGCTAAACCACTATGCCACCCAGGGATCCCTCAAGCAATCCTTTCATGTTAATATATATGGTATCTACATTCACTAATTGTTAGCATTTACCACATTTTTTTCCCACTATATACATACAGTTTTTGTGTTTTTTTGGCTAATTTATTTAAGAGTCAGCTGCAGATACCATACTTTATCCCTGAATACATTAATGATATGCATCTGCTAAGAGTATTCTTTTAAAAGCTACAATATAATTGTCACACTGAAGAA